CTTTGGCTTCTGTTCCCTGGGCTTCTGCTCTTCCGTTTTCCTGGAATTGCATTCAAGTGTACAAAGCACATCATTTAAAAATTGACAACATTCAAATTAGAAGAAGTAAACTTAATTTTCCTCTTCAAGAAAAGTTGCTTTATATTTGCAACAGCTAGGACTTGTCTGATCAAATCTTGAAAGGCATAACAAAATGCATTAAAACAAGCTAAAATGGAAAGGTGCAAAACAATTTTGCATAAGCTGTTTCAACCCAATTATGTGCAGAAAATACCCAGGATGAGAAAATTTACAACCTCATTGGACTTCATCTGTGCACTAAATTTACCTCAAATAAATAAGCTATATGGTGCAATAGCTACTTAACAAAAAAATAATCATTTAAATCAATATGGACATTAAATTTATGAATCTTATAATAAAACTACAAGAATCTCAGGAACGCGATTTTTTTTGCTTACAAGCCCTCTGGGAATCTCACGAGTCTAATTTCTCCACTACAACGGAGAATTTCGCCTATTTTGAGAAATTCTATAAAACTCTTCTAATAATCACATATAAAACCGCGAGGAGCCCGAATTAGCTAATAATTGAGACCAAATCATAAAATATCCACAAACTGCATTGTTCGTTACCCAAATCCAATTGCCTTGTATCAAATATATTAGAAATTAAACTCGCAAAGCTAATGATATATTAAAAGCGAGATTGTGAAGGACAAACATAAATATAAAAATTATCGAGAAAATTAGCAGTTATATGGTAAATACCTCTTGTCAGAAGAACCGCCTTTCTGGCTGAGGAAGGATCGGAAAAGTGGAGAATTAACGTCGTAAATCATTTTCGATTACAACCCTAGTTTTTCCAACCCTGGTGGAGATTTCGAGTCTTTATATTTTCTACACATTGGGCCACGAGGATGAAGCCCAGTTGATTTAATTGGGTAAGGCCCAATTAAAAAAATTAATTCAAATGGTACTGAAGTTTTCAATTTTAATCGACACAAAATGTCCATATCTTTCACATGTACTTCGAGATGAACTAATTGTCAATCATTCTAATCATATTGATTCGCAATGGCCTCCATTTTCTGTCGAAACACCCCCCTCATTTTATTTAATTGCTAATCACGTATTCAACCAAGAACTATGCTAGGATTACAAAGAAAAAAAACTTATAGAACATTTACCAACACTCAGAAGGTAGGGGGTGGGTGGGGCTTTTTTTTCATTTTTTATTCACGTAGGGCCCACCCGTGTGAGGGTCTGTTAAACTTATGGCAAAGGAATAGTTTTGTCAATCCAGTTTAATCCTTCAATAAATTATCTTTTCATTTTTACCAAATCTCTTGTACAAAGACTCAACCCGACCTGTGTAGTTTCAAATTTATCATCAAATTACAATATAAGAAAATGAAATAAACATATAAACAAGTTAAAATTCAAAATCACTCCTTGTGTCTATTACCGTTTTTCCATACATACAATTAAACTCCATCAAACCTTTCGTCGAGTAACATATTCGAGACTTTTTCCAATTTACCCGATCACGATTTTACCGAGTTAAATATATGCTAGTAAATTCTAAAGCTTATAAGACGATAGTAATTAATGAGATGATTGAAACATAGATTGGGGGAACGTTATCCAATCATATTTTCGTCGGTGCTTTTATCTTTCTCCTGTCACCCCACCAAATTAATTATTGGCTTAAACCTTAGCTTTATCCTACATTATTATTTTCGCCGAATTTCCTATTTTGTCCCTCACTTTCTAACCTTTGACTTGTCCCTGTTTCATGGGTCCATTGTTCAGAATCTCGCTTTCAAATTGCTGATTTGACATAATTGCCCTTAAAAAAATATAGTACCTATGTTGACTAACAATGATTTCTTTATTAAACTGGAAAAATTAAACTAATTTTGATATAGTAATTTATTACTTGAACTGAATCTTCCGATTCTCACGGTTAAAGATGGATTGACGGGTTTTGAAAATGACGAACTTTCCAAAGTAAGGAACAGAACTTCACATGTATTGAAACACAACGAATAAATTTACTTAATTATGAGAAAATAAAGTATTTAAAATCCATCTACTATATATTTAATTTACCATATATGGTCTTACACTATATTTTAAAATATTTTTTTAAAAGTAATTCTTTTAGTACTATAAATTCTTTTAAAGTTTAATCAAATGACAAAGGAGAAGGGAGTGGGTAGTTTCACAAGCAAGACACATAGGGGAAGAGGGTGGTATTTTTTTTCAATTTTTTAACACATGTGGGGCCCGTGCTACAGTGAGGGGTCGGTAATGACCCTGTGAAAATAGCGCTTGTACTGGGGGAATTACCCTTAATCAAATAGGTGAATTGAAAATTGAGCTAGAAGACTATTTTTGTTTTATTCTTTATTTTACATTTATTTATCTAGTCTATCCAAATGTCTGGCACATAAAATCATGTAAAAGAGAAGTATGCACCAAACTGTGCATACGATCATGTACAACTCGTGGCAAGTGAGTTGGTAGATTGCGCATGCATACTTGGTCTCACTAGTGTTAAATGGATCAAATCGAGTTGAGTTGTTCGACTCGACCACTGTTGGACACTCGACCCAATTGATGACATTTCATCTCAATTCAAGCGGACGTCTTATTTCATTGTCCAATGCACGTTAAATGCATCCCACTTCATTGATGATGAAGTGCTTATTTAATCTATACATAAATTGATGATGATCGCAATTAATGATGAATAATAATACTCTTTACATAAGTATAAGTTGTGAACAAGATATGCTGATAAGTAGATCCTGTCATTTTTGTTTGACATTTCAAAAAATTGGTTAAAGGTAACGTAGCAATATTTGATTTGTGAATCAGATTTTCCTAATGAATTTTAAAGAACGTGTAATTAATATGAGATTGAAAGTATATTATGCATGAATAATTGGTTTTAATATCATTTCATTTCTTAATCGAGCCACATTTGATAAGAATCTAAACCGAATATATGTAACTAAGATAATGCAATGAATACAAACGGGTTAAAAATTCCAAAGCCAACTACTAACCAAAGGAATCGAGCATTATTTTAGAGAATTTGTAAAGTAAAATATCAATTCCTTTAAAATTATACATACGTTTTTATGCCGTGTTTGAAAAATAAAATAGAAACTTGTTCAGTATATTTAATTTCTTGGTGGCATTTTAGTCAATTTTGATGCACCAACCGTGCTAAATAGTTTAGAAAAGCCCAAGGGCAGTTTCGTCCTTTAGAAGTTTATCCCAAAAACACAAAATTGAGAATAGAAGCGGTACCCTATTCCTTATTAACCCCCACCCTCTCTCTCCCTCTCTCTCCTCAACCATTGTCACCCAACACCACCACCCTTCCCCGAAATACATAAAGACATAATGAGGGTAGAAATAAAATAAAAGGTGATAGATGCATGAGTTAAACACCAACCACTATTGTATACAATCTCCATCTCTCTCTATATTCTCGCCACCTTCCCTTTGTAATCGCCACCCCCACCCCCACCCACCCCGCCACACTACCGCCTAAGTTGATTTTTCTCCTCGGTTTCACAACCCACGAACTAGGAGGTTTTCCCCTCTTTATCTTGTCCTGTTTATTTCAGGTATCAACCCTCACTCTTTATAATGACTTGTAACATTATGTTCTCTTTCTTAATAAACGGATGTTCTAAACTGTGTTTTGTCTCTATAGGTTGACTTGTATACTAGTAAAAATTACATTGGGCATTTGTGCTTGATGATGACAAATCTTCGTATTACGTGGGTTTTGTCTTGATTTTCCTTTGTGGTTTGTTGGACAATTGTGTTATTCAATTTTGTTAATCTCTTAGACCTTAGTTGGCTTTTCACATTCTTGACTCCATGAAAGGTGGTAGGTTGGTGGGGTTGACTTGGAAGTCAAGAGATAAACTGCCAATTCTTCAAATGGAATTATTTGGGTATTTGTGTTGATTTCTTGAAATTTTATTTGTGGTTATGTTAACACGTGTTTTGGTTAACTTTATAGTTAGAAATATCTATAGATTGTCATTCTATCACCTTATTGTTTTGTGGGTCATTGCCTGAGTGGTTCAAGGTTGTTTTTTTTTTAAATTTGAATGAAATATGCCAGTGGGAAAAGATGGCTAATTCTTGATTTGTCGAAGTTCGACTGGTCTATTTTGGCTTCTGTATCAGTATAACTTTGTGTCTGATTTTGAAGCTGTAGAAACTGTATTTAACGAACATGCCATTGCCGTCATATAATTTGTTAACTGAGTGGGAGATTGCAAATTTCATAAAGAAATGTATTCCCAACAGAGTGGTGAAAAGGGTTTCACGTAGCTGATGTTAAACTTAATGTGAACGAGACTTAGTTTGTTATTGTTGTGATGACTTAGCAGTTCTGACAATGCAATTATTTGGATGTCTGCTACTATTTTTTCACAATGATTATACTTTGTAACAAAACAGAGATATTCTTTGACTAAAATCGAAAAAAATTAACCATGTGAATCCAATTTGGCTATCTGCTGAAATTTTTAAGGGGAACTTATATAATTATTTTTCTTTTTAATTATCTCGTGCTATTTTCTGCTTTCAAATGTCAGCATTCTTTGGAAGTTGTTTTAGGTTCTATCTTCTGCCATTCGAATATGACACTCAATATGTTGCATACAATGCTTTTCATTTAAGCCCATGTTTGAGCCCCATCATCAAAAAATTCATTTTCAACCACACATTCTCCAAAAAATCACTATTACAAAATTTATTCTCCCCAAAAAATGAAGCTCAAACATAAGATAAGTTGTATATGTCTCACGTGTTGTAACCCTTCATCATATGCGATCTTTTTGGTGCTTTATTTGAATTTTTTGTCGAGTTAGGTAAGTATCGTTTCAGATATTTCATGGGTGAATGTACGAAGTAATAGATATCTTAATATTCTGACCGCCTATTAGGAATACTGAAACAGCCATGGTGAGCATTCGAAGGCGCAAGCTCTTAGGACTCTGTTCAGGTATGAATAGTCTAAGTAGTATATGTTCGGTGTTAAATCATTTTATAAAATAAGTATGCATTTAACTATGTATTATCTTGTACTGGCCTTCATGGAGCACTATGTGTTATTAATAATGGTTGTCTGTTTTTTTCCTTCTGTATTTAATTGGCCAATTATGAGTCTCTCTCCATGAATGAGGCTATTGATGCTTTTGCATTATTACACAGGGCTAAATTCTTCAGTGGCTCCAATTTCCAAGTATGAGCATGGACAGCATACTGAAAATCGTGTAGATAACACAAAACCAATCAGTGTTCACCCCATGGTTTTAGATAATATTGACCCACCAAAGGAGGTACTCATGGATACTGGAGTATTATTTCTTCATAGGCACAAAATCTATCTTTAAATTTGAACTGTCACAGATTTGGTTTCTCATGTAAGCAAGTCATTTCGTAACCATTGGCGATTGTTTTGTAACCATTTGAAAATTGGGATTTTAGGTTATCTAAGTTCTGAAGTCTCAGTGGCTATTCTTAACTGTATTGAAACATTTTTTGCTATTATTTCCATTTGTTATGGAAAGTTCCTTTTAATATTCTAATTCTCAAATTGGAGTGCTCAGTGGGTTATGAATATGTCTGTCTGTACGGGGATATTTAAAGAGTAACAGGGACCTGATTTCCTTTCCCGTTCGGGGAGACCATATAAAAAACAAGCATTCCTATGTGTTTCATCTCTCACTCATTAATACTTCATTTTTATAATCAAGCAGCATAATCAATGAAAAAGATGGTTGAATATGCTTGAATTATAGTTCTTTTGATAATATAAATGTTAGTTAATAAACTATCTTTCCCTGTATGTACAATTTCACAGGATTTTTTTGTGTGGAGTTGTTTAGGATGGTTTAATAGAGATTAGAGATTGCTATAGTCTTCCTAATATGCAATTGTTTTTCATAATTTTCACTTCCTTTCATTTTCGTATTCAATTTATAATATTACTTGGAGCTTGAAATTAGAAGGCAGCATATCATTTTTATATCATTAAGTGTGTGTATGAGTTTGTGTCTATTCTCCACCCGTAAATATGTGCATGCTCGTGCCCAGTGTTTTTTCCCTGGTACATTATTTACTATTTTAGTTCTTTATTGTTTTCATGCTTTATTATAAGTCTAAGTTCACGATGTATATGTTTTCCACACATAATATATTAAATTAGACTTCCTTTTTGGTCTTTACTATTGGCTAGAAAACTTATGTGGAAATTGGGCCTGGTTCATCAAATGTGCCTGCTTCCAGTCCACTAGAAGAGCATCATAATCATCAATTCCCAGGTCTGTTCTTATTTATGTTTTCATTAACACCTCTTCCGGTCTTGCTGAATGATGGTCTATTGAATGCATGATGGATCAAAGAGTTATTTGAATAACATAACTCGTGCAACCATGTGCACCATTGTTCTGCTATGCAATCTGTCCTTACTTCTTTTGATAGTACCTTTTTGACTACGCTTTTCATTTATTATCCATTAAGAGCCTGATCAGATTTCAAAAAATGCTTTTAAGAAAAGCATAGAAAAGAGAAAAATAATGGTTAAATGCTGTTGTGTTTGACACTAAATTTTTCCGGCTTTGGCAATTAACAAAAATTATCATGGAGGAGTCCAGTAGGAAGTTTAAATCCCAACTTTGGATCTTCGAACTGCGAAATATACAAACTTTTCCTGTAAACTAGTGGCTGCCTTAATGATGTCAGAGAGCTAGTTACTGGGTGGTGATGATGGTTGCAAAGGACCAGGACTGAGATTGTGATAGTTGGGGGTTTGCTCAAGTTGGAACTAGAGAGGTGGGAAGTAGAGAATAGAGAAAGGAGAGAGAGCAGTGTTGTCAGTAATTTGCAGATGGCCTAATTTTCTTATAGCATTCACCTTTTTAGCCAGAATGATGGTTATTTTGGGCAAGAAAGGGTAGCGATTGGGGTAGGGGTCTCCCCAAGAGGAAGGTAGCTTTCCCATCTTTTTAAAATGGAAAAAATAATTAGGTTGATGACTTGGTATTGGAAAAAAAAATTGAAGTATTTTAAGGTGTAGATTAGTACACCCAGACTATAAATGTCGATTTTATGAGATGATCAATCTGGTTGTCAAGTCTATGCTTATGTAATCTTCTTGTGTAGATTTACTTATTTGATTTTTTCTACAATACTTGTATGTCATTTAGTTGCAACTGTAGTGAAGGTGCCTCTACTGTATTTATGTTTATTTCTTCCTTTTGGTCTTTGACCTGATCCATCCTCTTTTATTCCAGAGGTTAAACGCAGAAAGCGGCACAGGAGAAAGCACATCGAAAACCAAGAACAGTGTATTATGAGAGGTGTCTATTTCAAGAATATGAAATGGCAAGCTGCAATCAAAGTTGACAAGAAACAGATCCACTTGGGAACTGTTGGTTCTCAGGAAGAGGCGGCTAGGCTATATGACAGGTATTATTAGAGGATACTATGGATTCTAACGGAAAACATTTCCCTTTCTTGCAGTATATAAATCCAGCATCCTAAATTATATCCATCTGTCCCATTTTTGTATGTAATTATTGTATGCAAGTATGTTTTAATGATTCGGTTCGACTTTCATGGTCAAACCAATAATTCTTGGTGCACAAGTTCTTACATATGCAAAATACTGCTACATGATCTTGTTAGTTCTAACAGAAACAACACGCCCGACATTCTTAAAACTTGTGACTTTTGGGAACCATCATGAGATCTATAATACCAATTTGTTCTCTTGTACGAATGCTCTATTTGTGTAATGTTTGCTCTATCCAATTATTATTTTGTCCATTTTTTTTTTTATCAAGATTTCCAGTTTCAACTTTAATGAGAATTTTTCATGCTGAATAAAAGATTTCGTACATCAATATTGAGTGGAAACGAGGTTCATTTGCAGGGCTGCATTCATGTGTGGAAGGGAGCCCAACTTTGAACTCTCGGAGAACGAAAAGCAGGAACTTGGGAAATTTAACTGGGATGAATTTTTAGCTATGACGCGCTCTGCAATAACTAGCAAAAGTAAGCCTTCCATAAAACCTTCTCTATTCCAGTAAATTTTTCCGCTTGATGGTTGTAGTATTTGAATCTACAGAAAACCAGAGAAGAACAGGGCCAGTTTATCAGAGAAAACTCGAGACCAGTGATTGGGAGGGTGAGCAAGGACTCAATGGTTTCTCGGCCTCAGTAGACAACCCGTTGGTCCCTTGATCATCCCCTTTCTCGCGGACAGGCTGAGCAATTTTTGAAAATCATGTTTCTATATTCAGACTTTAATTCTATTCAATTCTTGGTATATAAAAGTCCCTACTAAGGCAGCTGATGTGGAATTTTTAGACTATAATGCATTTGGTTAGACAAATGAATCGAATTGTATGCATTGATAAAATCATCTTAATATATTTGCTTTACTTGTGTTATGCTTAGTTTGTCGATTGGATATTGCACGTTCGAGTTGTTGAGAGTCTCGAGACTATTACTCTTCTATATGTTTATGCGCTCTAACAAGTAGGAAGATTAGTTGGTCACGAAAACAAGAAAATGAAGGTCAAAAAATACGTGTTAGGTGATTAGTTGTTGGCCTACCAACTCTTAGAATGTGCCCTAATAGATAGATATACGAATACAAACTTAGCTCATGTTTGATTTAGTTAAAAATTGGATTAAAATTTAATTTCAATTGGATATTGCACGTTCGAGTTGTTGGGACTATTGCTCTTCTATATGTTTATGCACTCGGCCGAGTTGGAAGATTAGTGGGCACTTCACTTCTTTGATATATTTTGATCACGAAAACAATAAAATGAAGGGCGAAAAATATGTGTTAGGTAATTAGGTATTGCTCTAACAACTCTTAAAGTTTGTTTGGGATAAATTAAAATTCAATTAAAATTGATAATATAGTCGTTATTGAGTCTCGTTCGTCTAATAAAAGTCAATAATAATGACTAATTTTTCAATTTTAATCTGATTTTAATCTTTACCTAATACACTCTTAGAATGTGTCCTAATATATAGAAATGCAAACATAAACTTGGTTCATGTTTGATTCTACTAAGCAATTGGATTAAAATTTAAGTTAGGGTTCATTTTAACTACACATTTCATGGATTCACAATTTTTCGATTATATTTCATCAACTTTTAAGATCTACAAAAAAATAAATTTTTATCTGAACAAACGGAAGCTTAATCTTTTTGATTTTGTGCCTTTAAAACTACTCGTTCTTTACAAAATAGCAGTGCTACAAATGAAAGTTTACAAATAAGTCTCCTAAAATCTTTTTCTCCTAAGAGCTCGATCCCCATCGACTTTATATAAGGCAAAAGTAATAGGAAAGAAATATTTTTGTTAAAAAAAAAAATTTAAAAATTGTTACAAATCGTTATATTCTCGCTCTTGATGTCATTGTCTGAATTCTATCCCATACATACCAAAAGAAAGCCCAGCACAAGTGTTTCATTGGGCCTGATTAAACATTCGTTGATGGACTAAATAAATATTGGACCCTATTCACAGCCCATGAACCCAATTGCAAATTCTTGTACAAATCCGCCAGCTCCGTCAAGACCGAAATACCACCGCTCTGCACCACCGTCCGCCGCTGTCATTTCGGCCGTCTATGAACAGTTAGATCAAGAAATGGATTCGAGTGACAAAAACCCAGATCCAGTGATTTCTGCTTCTTCAACTTCATCGTCATCTGATCCTTGGAAAGAGCGCATTCTCGTTCCTACTCTACTTGCTGGTTGGTTTTTTTTTTTTTACTTTGACTTTTACTGAAAACCCACAATTTTTGGTCTGGTTTTTTTATTTTTGGGCCTTTTGTTTTTAGGAAAATCTGATTGATTTCCTGTTTCTTTTTGGTTTGAAATTAGGGGTTGCGGGTGCCGGAGTTGGATTGATATCCAAGCATCGAAAAGTTCACGGCATTTCAAATATTTCAGCTACTTACGCAGCTAATTTTGCTATTATAACTGGTTGCTATTGCGGTAATTTCTCCGCGTTTGACTAATATTTTGTTTTGTATAGTTTTCACTTGTCCAAATGACATTTTACTCTAGCTCAGTAGCTTAAGATATTAAAGAAATACTGTTAGTTCCCTTGGTGCGAATTTTTGATTGTCTGTTTATATTTGTGAAGAAATGGCATTTGATTATAAGATATGCCTTCATATGTATTGTATGAGATGTGCTCTGTGTATCTATACTTTCAAGCTTGCATCTTTTTAATACTGGGGTTACGGATAATTCTTTTACCTGTAGAAATTGGAAGTTGGATTTGATAGAAGCTCTTGTTTTTTTTCATCTTATACTGCTTTAAGAAATGTTATTATGGAACTATCTATTTTTATTGTTTGAGCTTTTTGTTTTGATCTAATTTTACTGCGAGGGTAATTCCATACGCTACTTGTGATGGAAAATTGTACATTTTCGAACATATGATTTATACAATGCTGATAAGAATGGCTATTTATTCACAGACCTTCCATTCATGGGTTTTAGAATTTTGCTTTTCTAAAGTTGCAACATCTAATGAACGAGTGGGATAGGCTTTGTGATTTTCCCCGTTGTTATATGGGTTTTGATTTTTTTACTCCAATCTAAAATTGAGGTATAAGATGGCATGTACAATTGCTATAGTTGTAGCATTTTTTTTTTTCCAATTGTTAGCTTTCTATTATTTTCTTAAACTGCTGTGATAGTGCAATAACATAGTGGTTAGGTGACAATGTAAAGCACATTTGAACTCAGATATTCAACCAAATTTTCTGTCTTTCTTGTCTTCTCTGAACGAATCTATGATTCATGCAATCCAATTCAATTTTATGTGCAATTCATCACTCAAAAGAGTCAATATGCAAGCAAGAATTTGTATTTTTCTTTACTTGGACATATTAATATAGACTAATTTCAAATTATCAGACCAATGAGGGGAAAAGTAGAGAAACCTAGAAAAATTTGTTTGTGTTGGAGTCCCATAAAATAATGCTTATATATTGAACTCTCGGTCTGGTAGGTGCACGTGACTTTGTAAGGGTGAGCAGAACTGGAAAACCCGATGATTTGCTGAACTCGTTAATTGGAGGTTTTGGTAGCGGCGCTATTCTGGGACGTCTGCAAGGTCAGAATTGCTGAACCCCTTTGTGTACATCTGGTGTGCATGCGTTTGCACTAGCTTGTCTCTATGTACACCTACATACTCACCCTCACATTTTTACTTAGTCATTGCATAATTGTTTTGGTGCTGTCTTTTAGCTTCCAAAGGGGTTGGCTGATCTGACAGGTCAACCTGTGGTATGATTCAGTTGATAATCTCTGTTAAACTGTTTAATATTTTTGTTTTTCACGTATTACCAACCCAATGTTCTTTCAATTGTATCAAACCTTTCTGTATTTGAACAAAAAGAATTATGTAGATGAATTTCGAGTGTAATTGGCTTTTTGTTGTCAAGCTGAGCTTCCAACAGATTACGCCTCTGTTTGGGTTTCACTTCATTTTGCTAAAGAGTTACTTTTCAAAATCAAACATTAAATTTAACCACACATTTCGTACGATTCACAATTACTATCGACTTGTTCCATCTCATTTTTTGAAAAGTAAAACTTAGCAAATGGAATGAAACCCAAACATTGGTGCATTTGCACTTTCTTTTTTTTTTTAATTATTATGAGATCATATTTATACACTATGATGACTGTTTCTTATAAATTTGAACCATTTTTGTTTTGTGTTGTATTAGGTGGTCAAGTTGGCGCTATTCGGTATTCAATACTTTTTGCTGCTGTTGGAACAACAGTCGACTACGCCACTCTTAAACTAAAGCCCGTCGTAAGTAGATTTATAGAAGAAAAGGATAGTTGGTTCAAGTTGCCGGAATGGTCACCTATACGAGTACTCGATGATGAAGCTGTTGCAGCAAAACGTGCTCGGGAACAAGAAATTTACAGAAATGTCCATAATTTGAACAAAGAAAAATCTTGATAACATTTTTTTACTCTTTTTACCCCTTTGATTTCAGATTATGCAATGATCCATAAGTCAGTATTGTTCTTCTGACTTGTAATAAAGTGTTGGACTTATTCTGGTACACTGTGCTTCGCGCGAGTTCATTGTGTATTCGTTATGTCGGACACGACTGTACTCGATATGTTTAGACAAAGTTAAAAACAAATATTTAATATTAATAACCAACTTAAAATAAATTTCAAATTCAGTGGCTAACTTGGAAAAAAATGTCCAATTTAAGGGGCCAACATAAAATTTGACCGGGTTCATAAGTTATATAAACCAATTAAAATCAATAATTAAAACTCGTAAAAATTAATCGTTTGTATTATGTCCCTATTCGACAATTATTATCAGAGGAAAATAGAGTTTTTAATCGTGATTTTTAAGTAGAACGCGGTTAAAAAGTAGTGTGAATGTGTAATTCAAAAAATATACTTAGAAAAAAGAATTTGAAAATAATCATTGTCAAACAAGGACGTGTACTGTTGAAAATAATTATTGAAAATTGATTATTTAAAATATTGTCGATTCAGTTAAAGTCCTGTTTGAGCCATCATTGAAAAATGCATTTTAGAATCATAGATTTATGGAGAATGTGTGGTTAAAAAATGAGAATTTTTTTTTGAATTTACGTGTAGTATTATTTGAGTACTGTTATTTAACTCGATTTAAGGGGTAATTAGATGTCATTCAATTTATTTAAATGTAAAATTAAGAAAAGAAGGGAAGGAAAATGTACTTCGAGAATAGCGGGTAAACTTCCATTTTCTGTATGCACAAAGCTACCTACCCAGTAAAAGGGGTATAAAAATGGCGACTCCGATCTAAATCTCTTTTCTTTCTCACTCCACCAGATACCAGAAACAGAAAAGCTCTTCAATAACTAATCCTTTGTGGGTTTCTTTCAAACAACTACAAGAAACGTGTAAGGTACATTAATTTCCACTGTTTATGCACCCACCTTTCGTGATTTGAATGTCTATTTTATGTGTTTTCATCCCCAATTTTGGACATTTTACATTCTGAAAGTTTTCTAAGCTAAATTTGTTGATGTTAAAGTTTTTATTTTATTTTTATATAGCTTTTCTCATATTACTAATTTCTTGTAGATCTAGCATGAAGAGAAAGTAGGATGAAAGGATTTCAATTTCCAGTTGTATAAAATGTTACTGAACCCAAACATTTAGGTTTGAGATCTTTTATTATTATTATTAATAATTTTGTTCATTAGATTTTTGTTCTCCAATATCTGAATGGAGAGGATTTAAACCTTGTGGTGGAGTGAAATGGAAAAGGAGGATTCATATAGAGTACCCCATTGTGAATAGGAATTGATATGGCTTTGTTGACTGGTTTCGTATAAGCTGAAGCCTGTGGTTAATTCGTATATTTCGAGATATTTGCACACAAACGAATTTGGAATCTGGTATATGAACTGTAAATTACAAAAAAATGATGAGCGTCAATGTGGAGAAGTAAGAATCTTCACAACTTCTTGATTACTTGATATAAGTTATGTTGTAGGTGAGATCCCCGACATTAATATATGAGATGTATGGTAAAATTATTCAACGATATCTATTTCAATTTGAGTAAACAAAGATTTTCCAAGCTAATTTGTTTGTATGCTTCATTTCATATTTTGACCATAGGTTTGTTTATGCTTTATAGAGAAATTGGAGAACTTATGCTAAACGTCTATATGGAATGGATTCATTAATTGGACTATACGCCCTCCTCCTGGAAAGAGAGCTAAAAATGAACCTTTGAATATGAACTGTCACACTATTTTCCTACAAACATCCTTCTTATACCGACTATTAGAGAGGCTGTCAAGCGAGGAAGATAAAGAGTTTTTTTGGGGCTGAAGAACTTGAAAATTTTGGTCCGTGACATATTCTTTCTAGTTTTGCTTATTATTATTATTTTTTCTCAAATTCTTTGGCCAATTCTGGATTAGTATTGTAAGCTACTTATTGTAGGTAAATTGTTTGGTGACTATATGGGTGTTTTCATTTCATTTGGCTTATTCGGACTACCGTTGTTGTACATTGAATAGGTTATGGCACACTCAGAACCTGCAAGTGCAGACAGGGAATTATTTCAAGTTTACAGTGGTGCAAGGAGACCTCGGATACTGCTTGCTGCTAGCGGAAGTGTAGCTGCTATAAAATTTGCTAATCTATGTCACTGCTTTTCTGAGTGGGCAGAAGTAAAAGCAGTTGCAACTAAGGCGTCTATGCATTTTATAGACACTGCATCACTTCCCATGGACATGACTCTTTACACTGACGAGGATGAATGGTCGACTTGGAAGAAAATAGGTGATAGCGTATTGCACATTGAACTTCGAAGATGGGCTGATATTATGGTCATTGCCCCTTTGTCAGCAAACACACTTGGCAAGGTACACAATATCTGATAAAATGTTTGTTATCCAATTAACTTGTCAGTATCACGTGTATTACATTAGAAATTGGTCGTGTACAGAAGCAGACTTGAATCATTTTACTTGTTTGGCTAAGCTTAAATATAAGTAAAATTTGTTTGGCTACTTTTAAGCTGATTCTAAAAGTAACTCTTGCCTTACTTTCAAAATAAGTAACTTATATTTATATATTTTTCACCAATAAATCAAATATTTATTATAAAGCTTCCTTGTTCACTGGTAAGTAAACTTTTAAAGCTTAGCCAAACATGCTCCTAATCTTATGGGTGACCGTTTGAATAAAATTGCCTACAGTAGCTACTTTAAGAGAGATGATTGTAAGCTTGTTCGTATGCATTTCTAGCATACTTACTTTCTCTAGAGTCTGCATCTGCCTTAAATCCCTTATTGGGATTCTTTTCTGGAGGTTCATTCTCGAATGCTTAAAGTGGACATTTGACTATAGATTCCTGCAGTTTACTTGAATACTCCATGCACAAACTTTCAAAGTCATGTACTAACAAGGTATCTTCTTAGGCTTCGAACATTGTTTTGAATGATTTTATAATGAGTTTTCTTCTTGTATAGCTGTTACAGGTTGATTCAGTTGTGATTTTGACTATGTTTCTTGCTTTCTTGTAATAGATTGCCGGGGGATTGTGTGATAACTTGCTGACTTGCATTGTACGGGCATGGGATTATAGTAAACCATTTTTTGTGGCGCCAGCCATGAATACTTTAATGTGGAACAACCCTTTTACAGAACGCCATCTTATGACAATTGACGATCTAGGAATTTCCCTTATACCGCCAGTGACAAAGAGGCTAGCCTGTGGAGATTATGGAAACGGTGCAATGGCTGAGCCTTCTCTCATTTACTCAACCGTAAGGCTCTTCTTAGAGAAACGGGCACAATCAATTGGTAGAAATATTCAGTGATGAATAAAAGGATAGTAGTGGTCTTGCAATTTTATCTCTTGAAGAGACGAAGAACAATGTTGAATTTGTTGTACAAATGGTAGTTATTTATAACCTCCAATAGTGCAGTTAGAACTGGATTTTCTCCTGTTTATGTAACATGGAGCAAAGGGACGCTGTAATTTTAATTTTAGTTCAATGTTGCGTGCCAAATCATTGGATTTGATATGAAGATAGATTATAGATTTGCATGTCTATTATAAACAGGTACTAGGAGAAAAAAACAACCAAGAATACAAAACATAAAATCATATCGTACTGAAACTCGAAACAGGATTCCAAATTTGCCACTAGAATAACATGTTACATTGATGAAGGCGTTCTAAATTCTCATGAGAGTAGCGACACAAGAGAGACAAACTCCAGGGTAACCCGTCCCTTGGACCTCGTGTTGATAACGAAATGCTCTGGGTACTTCCTCAACAACATGAGCAACCCATACCATGGTTTTCCACTGGCTTCTGGAACGGAATGATCCTCAGACGTGAGGTATCTTCTCACACGACTGTGATGCCAGACACTGCCGAATTGTTCCTCCAACTATACAAACAAACATAATAAGCATAAGAGAATCGTAATAATTTGAAGTTTAAAAACTAGATTCTTATAAATGTTCGTACACCATCTATGGCAGACATCAAGGATCTCTTAAAATGTAAAAAGCATATGAGATCATATGTTCAACTAGAATAAGTATATAAATTTTAAAAAAACTCCAAAATTGCCACAACCTAAGAATTAGGATACAAATGAACTAATGAAACATGTACAAATCAAAATCATAAAATATGACGAAATATTGCTGTATAAGGAGAAAAAACCCTCATACACTACCAATTCCGAGTAAAATTTTAGTACAAGTCTTCGAGTTTATCTTGCTCTATAAAAGGGGACCTAGGATTTCAATGATCTTAGACTGTTGATTAATAAATTTTTTAAACATTGAGATTTTCCTCCTCCCAAGTGCTTTCGCTCTACTATTTATCTATCTTCTTGTATTCTAGCTCTTCCCGCTTTCTTACTCTTCTTTATTTCTCATCTCTTTATGTCTATTCTCTAATTCTCTCATATTCTACAATCTCTTTCTTCTCTATTCCGCTATCTGTTCTTTTACCCCTTCTATCTTCTTCTCTCATGATATCTTTATGTCAAGTTCTGCATCACAAGCAACCTATTTACCACAGATTTTAATTAAACACAGAGCTTCTAGTGAAGTACTGAAAGGAAGTTTGTTTCAATCTTGTAGAGTAAAAAAAAAAACTTGAGGCATGAAAAGTGGAATAATTTCATAACAAAGCATGCTACATGACGAAGTTGATGAGAAACGTTAAAAGTTTTCAAATGACTCTTTTCTTCAAGGAATATAAATGGTTTGTGAAAGTCAGAATTAGTGTAGTGTGCAGTAAATAACTTTCTCAACTTGGCTCCTCAAACTTAACCAGACATATCAATTTTCTCCCTAGCCTTTCTCACTACTACCTCTACAGACACCATTCGAATAATCTTTCTTCTGCCACCACCAATCTTTACAGCTCCAATCCCACTCGACAAATTGACCAGATAAGAGAGGCCTCAAGTGCGGTGCCTCCTACCCCCCCCAACGGGTCTATCTCTATCTATCTACAGCCTATCTGTAAATGTGTACAAGTGTATCTCTATTTGTATATAAATGTGTACGTTTATCTCTATATGTACGTACATCATCTCTCTCGCTTTATATCCATATGGTGGCTGTTGGGCGGTGATGTTGATAGCTCAGTTTGGATGGCAGTAATTGTAGTGGTGTTTGTTGAGAAGGCCGCCATAGTGGTGTTAAATTGGGTGGCAGTGGAGCTATATGACTTTTTCTGAGAACTGAGATTAATGACTTAAAAAATACCAATTTGATATTATTTTTTCCTGATGAATTATTGTTTTGAAAAAATTCAAGCAAACATTAGGAAGATTCTTATTCTTTCAACAACTCAGATACATGTGTTCCTAGTGGTAAAGATGATGATTGTTGCCATCCAAGTTTGGGAACTATGAAGCAGGGCTTTCATTGTCCTGATTATTTTCCAGTTGGGCTTCATATGCGGTCTTATATTCCCAATTTTTATATAGAATATTTGGGACCTCTTCAAAGTTTTTATAATCTTTTGTTTTCTTATTTAAAGATGATTAGGGAGGCAATGGGGTAGTAGAGATGATGAGGAGAGGAGGCACCCATTCCTTTATTTCTTATTTCTCATTTGCTTCTTCTTCTTCTTCTCTCTCTCTCTCTCCTTTTTTTCTACTTTTAATAATTTCAAGTGCTTATTGAATGTTACAATTTTAATTAACGTTCCTAATTAGTATAGTAAGGACCAAATCAATCAACTCAACCGACAGTTTTACACATTCTTAAAAGAGACCTATATTTCATGAGAACAACAGTTTCCATACTCTTTAATTGCATATCTATGTCATTACAAATGGTAAACATGATAACAAACAATAAACCCTTTAGCAATTAAACATTCAAATCATCAAATGATACAGATCACTTTCTTCCTCTAGCAGATTTGTGCCTATTGCAGTCCGTTCTTAATTTACAGCATCTTTTCCGCCCATTTCTTTTCATATCAGTTCTTCCCAAGCTCCCACAACCAAAAGGGGAAAAACAAGTCCTTTCTATCAAATTCACCCTCAAATAAAGAAAAAAATAAGAAACTGGCTCCTCATCCATCAAAAGTTACATCTGGTCACCTCCTAGATACCTTTACATGTTAATCAGCTTGGCTGACTCAATGGTGTTCAAATATCTCTGGCTGGTATGAAAGTTGAAGGCTTTCATTTATGCCACAGTTTCTAGTGTTAGCCAAATACGTGCTGACAAGTAGAAAATGTTTATGCAGTTTCATGGTTTCATTAACTTAATTAGCTATGAAATTCTCCATTGAGAGGCCAGGCCTGTCTAATGAGAATTAGTTCCACAATTGTAGCTGTAGACAAGAACATGTATGTACATCTAAAATACTTCCCATGCAATTTTCCATGGGAACTCAACTTGAAGAATTCCTAAAACTTCTTTTTAGAAAATAAATGCAGTTCATTCTATATGATGCCTCACATAATATAATACATGATTTGTGATATATGTGAACTTCCATCTGATCTTCTTTCTTTCCTTTCAGTTGCACGTTATATGATGCAATATCTTTATTGTTTTAGCACATAATGCACATTAAACAATGGACCATGCTTCTTGTACATCAAAGAGTACATAAGGGTGTACATAATGGACACCCGGCATCATTCTAAACCCACCGGCACTCCCTCCAATAGGAAGGTGCCGACACCCTTATGTACACTTTGATGTACATCTATCATTATCCTTAAACAATAGCAATCCATTCAACTGCAAATGGAAGAAGGGACAAATGGAAAGAGTGGTTGAAGTATTAAGATCTCGGTACTCAAGGAAGCAGTTGTCTAAGCAATTAGTTTTAGTTGATATACATTCATCAATCCAGCCAGTTACTTTCTTTTGTTCCTTCTCTCTTTTTATATTTGAAAGAAAGTTCTGCTTGCAAGGTAACTAGAGGAAGAGGGAGCTTAGCCTGAGGGGAACGAATAAAAAGTATAGGAAATGAAATTAGCTGCTCACATAAAAAAAATGGAACAGTAATTTAATTTATTGTTTTAAGTACTTGTTTAGACGAGAGCACAAAAAATAAACCACTTTATTCTGCAAGTCTAGAATTACAATTAAAGATCTAAGCACCGTTATTTTCTTCAGAATAGGAGGAGATTCAAATTTGTCATATTCTCAGCATCAATATTGTGATTTGGAGGTGTAGGAACTAAGCATAAAATTATTCTAGTGTTCTCACATTATAAAAAAAAGAGGAAGAAGGAAATTCCTGCAATAATAATATGTTCATCATTGGTGGATTGAAACCAGATGAGCATACAATAGGACATCCAGATAGAAACATACCTCAGAATGAAGTCTCTCCATTGGCATCCATTCTCCAGGACCACAGAGATCGGAGAGCACAGTGGCCACTGATGATACAACATCCTTCTCCTCTAGCTGAAGGAGCTGTTGATTGTCAGCCTCCCTGTCAACACGGGATCTTCCCTCAACTTTCTTATCTGCAAGATATCCGGGGAAAATCATGTCAATGGCATATTGTAAAAGATATTCTCAGGATTCCAGTAACCTTCTATGATTGCAGATCATTCACTGCCTACCCATTACATAAAATTCGTTATCTAATACCACTCACATTTTTTCCTGATAAAATAAACTACTCAAATTTACCTAAATAATCATTACAATTTAACTAGGTACTCAAAAAGAAGCAATGTAAACATAGTGAACATAAATAGACATGTTTCCATTACATTTAAAGGTAATTACATGCCAGAACCTGATACTGATTGATTAACCAGAAAAGAATTTAAATGCAGAATGAAATAAAGCTGAGGGTATGGAAGGCAAGAAAAGTGTGGACCAATTCAAACTGTTCCCCCAAGATGCACTTTTGCCCATCTACACCATTTATTTAATTAGGTTGACCAGATATATGGATCAGCTTCAAATTTCCAAACAACCTGGTCGAAGCATTAGACTGTGAAGATAGCAAATATATCATCACGTCATGTATAAATGGTCAGTGCTGCTAATTCTTTATCAAAGAAATGCAAACTTTTGAATAGAAGTGACATTTCTATAGGATAGTCAATTTGAGATGGTTGGGGAACTAGGATCTATCAACGTGCTTTAGATTAAGTGGGGCATCTAGTGAAGCTACGACAGGATTGAGCAGCCTATCTGTCAACGAAACTTAAGAGGTCTGGGGAATAAATTGTAAATTGGCATTTTTCAGGGTTGCTATGCTTATGCATCAGAGAGACAGACAGTAATCCTTGGAAGGAAGTTTGAAGACTATACTTCTGGTAAGAGCAATATTTCTCAGATGTGTGTGTGAAGCCACAAAAGATGCCATCCAAAAGTTACATCCACTTTGATAAATATGCTTTGAATAACATACTCAAAAAAAAAAATGCAAAGAGCAGAGCTGAAGACCATTTTTGAGAACTGGAAAAAAATGAAAAAAGCCTGCCAGTGCTAGTAACTGTACACTACAATAATACAAATAGTATTGCTAATTTCAACTCCATTTCGTATCAGTTTATTCTCACTGCTTTTACTTTTTATCATCCAGTTGAAATTCATATGGTCTTATCTATCCACTATCTATCATCTGCAAATTCAGTGGTTGTGTCTCATCAACAATACATTGGAGCATACTCATTAATCCTTCAATCCTACTCAAGGCAAGTTCTACAAGGTTTTGCTCAAAACAACAATGTACGTGACACACAACACTTTCCGGACATGTAAACTCTAGTGAAATCTTACTCTCCAAGTGATCTGCCAAACTCCCTGTTACCAACAGACAGCAGTAGAATGCAAGGAAACTATTCATTAGTCCAATGTGAATATTAAAACATCGAAGATCAATCCACAACCTGCAGAAAGGCTACACATACTAAAGAGAGCAATTAAAGTACCCATAAGCGGCTGCTTAGTTAACTAGGTGGTAAAGTGGACAAACCCTGAAGTTCAAATTCCGACACTATTTTGATGTGAACACCATACACCGCAAAAATAAATGTTATCAGAATCTACTAAAAATTTAGCAATAAACAACCCTATCAACGATTTAAACCTCATGCAAGAGAGGAAAAAACAAAGATTACTTGCAACATATAAGCAGGTATTGAAATCAGAGGAGAATAAATTTATCTCTCCTTCAAATAAAGAAGCTATGAACTAGCTACACATGTAAAAGAAGATAGCGTGAAATCATAAATTTAGCAATAAACAACCCTATCAATGATTTAAACCTCATGCAAGAGGGGATAAAACAAAGATTACTTGCAAAATTTAAGCTGCGATTGAAATCCGAGGAGAACAAATTTCACTCTCCTTTAAATACAGAAGCTATGAACTAGCTACATATGTAAAAGTAGAGATCATGATAACATAATCTATCTATTATAAATTGAATGTCCGTTATTGATCACAAATATATCAATGCGCACCCAAAATCAATGAGAACCCACAGAAATTTCAACTACCCCAAGATACAAATCAGAACAAACAATAAAATTAATTCAGCAGAACAGATAGAGAGCACAACAACTCACCCAATTGCCCCGAGAGCCCTGCCTTGCCACCAGAACCTGACCCACCCAAACCATACCCATAACCACCAGTGGAACCATCCACACCATCCACTCTCCTCATCCGCTTACCCCCTGTGAAACCATCCTCCTCACCGCCACCGCCCTCCTCATTATAGTCCTCCTCATAATACTCCCTCCCTCTCCCCTTCTTACCATATTCCACCCCTCCCGACCCTGAAGGCGGAGGCCGCGAATGATGCTGATACTGAAGTCCAGAACCCATCTGATAGTTATTGACATGATGCCTCGGCCCAATAGGCCCTCCCAGGATACTCCTTACCGGCAATAAAAAATAAAACTCCTTATCCCCAATTTGCAGTAGGTCCTGCGAATCAAGCTTCACAGGGGGGTTCCCGGGAAGATGAAGCACGCCCTCGACGAAGCAGCCGTTCTTTCCAAGCACCTCAAGAGCAAAGCGCCGGCGTTGGAAGTCGTAAAAGATTCGCGCGTGGTGGCGGCTGATGTTCATGCCACCGCCGAGGGAGGAGAGATCAACATCCACCGAAGATTTCTTGGAATTTCGCCCTAAAATTATTGAATAAGTCTGCATATAGTACTCGAAATCCTCCCCCTGCAGCTTAGCGAACCCTGCCTCCACATCGCTGCTTCCCATTTTTGTTTCTGTAATTTGGGTGAAGAATCAATTGAAGAAGAAATGGAGATTTGTAATTACGCGAGGGCAGGGCCGCAGGGGCTTGGAAGAGGAAGGGTGTTTGGTAAGGGGATATTCATAGTCAGATTAGGGCTTGTTTGGCCTGACTTTAAAAAGTTAAATATATTTGAATAATTTTTCAGAATTACTTTATCCTCTTAAAATAGAAACAAAAGTTATTAAGGCCCTGTTTGGGAGGGATTAAATTTTTCTACAGTAAATTAATTTTCATTTTCAACCACACATTCTTCAATAAAATAATATTTTCCATCACATCAATAATTTTTTCTTCTTTTTCAACCACACATTTCCCATCATAT